TGGACCAAGGTTTGGGTATACCTCAAAAGACCAGTCAGTCCAGGGAGGGAGTTCCTCGCTAAGTAATTCTGGTGCGATGTGTTCAGATATACTGTAGTTATGGAGTATTTCTTGGCATTTTATAATGAAAGGGAATTTTTTCCAAAGTTGGTCATAATAGGTGAGATCTTTGTTAGCCAATCTGGCAGTTGCAGTATGATCTGGGAGACTCCTAATTTTACTGAAGTATCTTAGGCTTAGAAGTTGGAGTCGAATTTTCATTGGTAAGATATTAGTATCAACATGAAGAGCATCTATTGGGGATGATCGAAATGCTCTGGTTGCTATTCCAAGGGCTTCATTTTGTATCGTCTGTAAGGGTCTAATCATAGAGTCACTTTCTGTAAGGAGGATGGGTGCACCAAACTCCATCTTACTACGTATAAAGCCTTTATAAAGGAGAAGTAGGCAGAATCTATCAGCACCCCAGTTCATTGCTGCTACTCGTTTGAGTACGTTGAGGCGATGTGTGCAGCTATCTTTCACCATTTGGAGGTGTGTCTTCCATGACAATCGCTCATCCAATAATAATCCAAGGAATTTAATAACTCTACCTAATTTAAGAGGAGTAAAGTTTCGTAGCAAGGAGGGGCAATGGGAGAAAACAACAGTAGCTGATTTTTCGGGAGAGAAGCGAAAGGCCCTTTTTTTTGCCCAGGATTCAATATGGCAAAGAGCTATTCTAACACTTCATCTAACCATTGCTTGATCTGTCCCAGTAATCCAACAGGCTAAGTCATCTGCATACATGCCTGCTTCAATACCTGGATATGTTTTTGGGAAGACCAATAGGTCATTAACCATTGTGAGAAATAAAATTGCGCTTAGAATAGATCCTTGTGGGACTCCTAATTCAGTTTGTTTACATTCTGAGAGGGTTCGTCCTATTCTGACCTGGATCTGTCGATCTTGAAGAAATGATTGGAGCCATTTTAGGGGGGTCCCAACAATATCAAATTGTGTCTGGAGTTTGTATAGTAGACCTTCATGCCATACAAGTTCATAAGCCTTTTCAATATCAAAGTTCCAACTGTCAGACCCCTTCTTGCAAATCCTACTTTCACAGCAGTTTCTAACCTAATCACATTATCCATGGTTGAATGTTTTTTTCTGAATCCACTTTGAAAAGGAGATAAAAGCTGTCGTTCCTCAATCCACCAGCGTAAACGGGTTTCAACCATCCTTTCCAAGGCAAGGAAGTAGTGATATAGGCCTATAACTATTAGGATCTTCTTTAACTTTTCCAGGTTTTAAAATTGCAATAACCGTAGCTTTCTTCCATTGAGCAGGAAAGGTGCCTTCTTTCCAACACCTATAAATTGATCAAGAATAACCTTGGCTTCATGCGGGAGATGTTGGATTAATAGGTTATGTATGCGATCTTCACCTGGAGCTGTTGGTTTTAGACATTGAATAGCATTATTAAGTTCCACTATTGTGAATGGTACTGATGATGAGGGGAATTTGTATTCATCTCAGATAAGTAGAATGAAGATTTTTCCTGTATCTTTCTCCCATCTTCCTCAGTGTGATTTATTGTGTTACTGCGTGTTTGGAATACTTCTACGAGGAGATTACGTACTTCCAAGTGGTTTGTCAACCACTCTCCATTTTTTAATAAAATGGGAGTTGAATTTGGCTGACTTCCATTTACTAATTTAAAATAATTCTAAACTTTATCAACTGGAGTTTGTCTTGATATGTTATTACAGAAAGAGCTCCATGCTGTTCTCTTGGCTGTGTTTATCTGCCTACGACAGATGGCATTAAGTTTGGAATATTCCTGAAGGTCTGCAGGATTTCTGGCCTATTGACCTACCACTGACTGTACAGATTACAGCACATGTTTGGGACTTTTCCACCTCTTATGGTACTGTGACGTGTCCTTAATATAAGGCCTTCATTACCTCATTAAGTTGAGATATAGTTGAATGAAGTTCACCGACACTCTCTTTGTGTTCTAGATCTCCAAAGCGATTGAAACTTTTCTTGTTCCGAATTGGTTCTCAATAGGAATATGAGCTTGTTTATGGCCTGGACTCTATGAATCTGTCTTGAATATGTGAATAACAGATGATGAAGTGTCCGTGTTTATTGATTCCTATAATGAGACTAGGCGAGCCATATGTCGAGGTACTCAACAATCCTGCGAGGCACGATTCCAGGGAAAGAGGGAAGGCAACTTTTGCATACTGTGCGAAAAGCGAGACCCTTACCTCCATCTAGTGGCCTGGCGAAGAACTTCAAGGTGTTCACTTACGAGTGATGACGAGCGATGAGGGAGCATTCGGTGAGCAATAAGAGAGTATATTTGAAAAGCTCACGGTGTGCTCACATTTTTCTCCCTAAACGCTCGGAATTTTCTAAGAGTGTAGCCGACAATGCCTCGTACTCTCATTGTTGGTAGTGAGCACTTCGTCCGGGAACGCTTTCAGTAAATCTCTATTCTCATCGCTGAAATTAGGCCATGTAACGGCAGAATTGTAGGGCTTTTGGAACTGTTGACCCAATAAGTATCGCCTCCGGGTCATGAGCTTTTGTCCTTCAGTGACACCTACAATATTCAAACGAGACGCACCGAATGAATTTGGAACGCCCAGGAATCAGACGGAGAAGGGAAAAATGGGTCCTGCCATCAAAGGCTCGCGAGTTCCCTTATGTAACAATATACAGTGAACTACGTCTCATAGCATTCTAAAGAGAAATAACTTGAATTTCAAACAGACATGCTTTCAATCAATAATAATAGATACATTTCGACATCAGGGAAACCCCAGTTGCTTGTATGCAAATTCTCAGGGAGTTCCGCTCCGTGGCCTTAGAGTGAGAGCGCAGTTTTAATTCGGAACGCCCGGGTAGAATAAAGGAGTATTAAGAGTTCGGCCGAGATGCGGATCGGCTCCATAGGACCGATCTGACACGTGACACGAGTGCGAGCCATGATTTTGTGAGCACTTCGCCCGGGAAGGCGTTCGGGACATTGCTACTCTCACCGCCGAAATTTGGTCTCATTACGTGAAAATTGTGAGATTTTTTGGACTTTCGATCCGCTAAGAATTGTTTCCAGGCCATAAGTTTCCGATTGGCATTTCACTCCTGAAAATCCAATGTCTGTGCGCTCACCAGAGACCTTGACGTCCCTTGTGCACCGTCTGCCTCAATCTGATCACGTGACCTTGAAATGGTTAAACGTTTTGGTGCTTCAGTTTGAAATTCATGTCTCCAACTTTTTTGCACCTCTTTCACGTTATCCGTTTTCCAATAACACTTCAAAATCCACTCACGTAGCTCAAATGTCAAACGAGGTTCTGCTATTTTAATGTGTACTGATTACCCATAGAGTATTGCGTGCGATCGTGTGATATTACACTAACACATTCCAGCGGTATTATTGCAAACTATTATAAATCATCACCCTTCTATCAACATTTTTACATGTTGTATCAACGTTCAAGGTGTGTATACATTATTTTAGGGACACCCTGTAAATTTGGACACGATCGTTAAGCTCCCCTACCGGGGACCTTGCCACCGAGCCTTTCTCGGTCTGGCTGGGAATATTCCAAGAGAGTAGTAGTCCTTCGATTGCCATCTGTTGAAGTCTTCGCTTTCCGTAGGGGATTTGAGCCCCAATGCGATTTCATTTATCGTTCATTTGGCTATTTTCCCGTTCTGGAAGTGCTTGCTCGGAAGGACTCTTGGGTGATCTTTTATCACACCCGAATCCACACCTCCACAATTGAAATAAACACGTGTTCAGTCGCCATCTCGATTCATTTGTGGAAAGCTTTCGGTTCAAATAATCGAGATGGATGTCTCATTCAGAGATCAGAAAAATGTTGGCTGCCGCCCTGGTGCCGATGGGCTACTGCATACATGGGCTGACCACTGCGATGTGGGTCAACTCTCACTCGCTGCCAACATGAGCCCAGCGTTGTGGGTCAACTCTCACTCGCTGCCAACATGAGCCCAGCGTTGTGGGTCAACTCTCACTCGCTGCCAACATGAGCCCAGCGTTGTGTCCTTCATGGGTATCTCTTCGAGAGGGAGAAGGTAGCGAGAAAGAAATTTTAGCGGAGATGTCGGGGCCGTCCTTGCATGTTCATGCCCTTTTTTTCTATCAACTCGTCATAGCAAAATTTCAATCTTCCCGAAACGAAACATCCTCAACTGGAATGAGAATGGGACGTATCGAATGATCGGTTGCAATGATGATCAAATTTGAGAAGTATCTTGACCTTGAGCGCTTTCTTGAAATCCATGTTACTCTAAATAAAAAAATGACTGTAAGTACTTCGTCTCCTGAGTGATTTAAAAGTCCCTTTCGACATTTACTCGATCGGCCTTTTCTCCTATCAAATTTTTTGCATTTCTGCATTACCTCCATCGACGAGTTTCTTGTCGACATTTCTTCTTTCGACATTCAGAAACGCACCGGCAGAATGCCGTCGGCGCTGAAAGTTCCTTTCGACCAGTCTCAAGTCCTTCGTGTCTTCACTCTCCTTTCCTTCCTAAAACATACATGAACAAGATTTGCAACAACCTAGACCGCTGTGTTTTCTCCCCCACTGTTCTGGGTCCCCAACCATTCCCGGCACGCTGTTTCATTGCTATTCCCTCCGTTTCAGTTTCAGTAATGTATCACGCCGATATGAGACGGCTTACATCCCCATATCTAACTTCTATCACGTTTTAGATCTTCCTTCAAAACTATTGCCGACAACGACATTTTCACTCACTTGACGATATTAATTTCTTTCCTTCCAGAACAGGCTGACATCGAAAATCATAGAGGACATTTAAAAAAAAAATCATAAATCGAAAGCAATTGAAAATTAAATCCTCCATCGCAAGACCCAATTTCACGGTGAAAAATAATTTTTTTTCTAAATAGTTATCAAAGCGAAATTATGCAAAAATTATTTTTGATATCCAAGAGAACGTGTATTTAATGCGTGTAATGAATTTCCCACGGCATTTTATTGGAAAACAATATCCCAAAAAAACAATAGCGGGATCCAATACAACGAAGTAGGGATTCCTCAAATTCCTTTCGAATTTTTTCCCCATCGACCCAACCCAGAAGAAACCGATTCCCTTCGAAGCAGCAAATGGAAACCCAAAAAAAACGTCAAGGCTCCCCTCCGTCGATCAAGTTCTTCGCTTCCTCCTGGGAAAAAAAAAATCAATATTCCACCTGTAAAACTTCTTTCGCCAGTTCCATCATGAACACTTAAGGTGGGAAGGATCCGATATTGTTTTTAAGCTAAGTTAGGTGCGATGGAATTTCGGACGTTTGCAAATTTCCCCGATTTTGCGAATTTTAGCAGGACGACGCCGGGATGGCGACAGAAACGAAACAAATTTCATGGCATGAAATGTTTGCTGGATGTTCTGTTTTCATTCGACTCTTAAATTCGACGATAGGGCCACAAAATTGAATGATAATGTTCGAGGTCATCCCGTCGACGGCACAAGATTTCTCGCCGTTTCCTTGCAAAAAAAATTCGCGTAAATGACATTTGAGAAAGCTTTAATAACCCCTTACGGATGGATTCATTCCATCCTCGATGTTAATCAGAAACGCGTTCGTCCTTTCGAGAACTCGTTCCGGAACTCAGCGAAGAAAAACAAGCATGACTATCATGCAATGCATGACTCGGCCGTTGCGCGACTTCTTCCATCGCTTGTATGTGCGATCCAGACCTCGAAAAGTCCGCATCAGCGTGAGGTCGCAATAAGAGTTCCACGCTGAGGCCTGGTATACGGCATCGAGTCCACTTTCCTCATGCATTTACAAGCCCGGCCGTTGAATTCACTCCCGAGCTCACGTTGCAAGAATGAATTCCTGAAAGACGTAAATTTAGCCAGGAAAACAATTTTCGAGGAACGTTTCCTACCTGAGAAACGCCGTTCCGACATCCGCGTTTCCTGCAAGCCACGTATTTCCCGACGAGGACGTTGAGGACGAGGACGAGGACGGCGTCGAATACGACCTGCAACGCGAAGCTCACCGTGACGAACATCACGTTCTCCATGCTGTGGAAGTCCCAGTCCGTCTTCCCCGGCGGGTACATCACGGCGAGCTGCAGGTACCAGGTCCCTTGCAGGATCACGGAGTAGCAACGGAACAGGCCGGCCGTGACGTGGGAGGACTTCAGCAGCTCGGTGGAGACGGCGGCGATGTTGGCCAGGATCACGTACTTCAGGGCCGCGAAGCTCTGAGACGAGGCGGAAAATTATTTAATTAAATTACAGAATCACAGAAAATTACTGATTCGGAAAAATTACCCTTTCCTCCAGGGGACTCGCAGATCCCGTGAATGCAGCGAGGATGTACTGAAGGGACCCGCCGAGGATGGCGGCGGCATAGTCCGAATTCGGCGGAACCGATGCCAATCTGCACTCCTTGACGATCATGACGAAAGCGAGCAACAGGGGACCGAGATAGCTTCCGGCGTGTTCGATCCACATCATACCCATTCCGCGATGGTAAGCCGCTTCGGCTGAAAATTGCCACGAGCGAGTTCAACTTTTTAATGAAAAAGGTTTATATTCAATTCACGCCAGTCGGAGAGAAATCAGAAGAAATTCTCATACAGATGAGCCCGATGAGGCTGATGACGGCGATGAAGACGTAGTCCCATGGGAATTTCCCAGGGCTGAATCGTAGGGAATTGCGGAAACGGGGTCCCGCGTGATCCAGCCGACTCCGGTGCCACCTCGTCAACGTGTTCCACGTCATGAGGAGGCCGACGACGAGTAAGCCGAAAGCCGGCACCGCTTTCCCCGGTGGCTGCCGCCTCATTTCTCCTCCTCCGATCTAGACGACGTTATTCCCCGAGATCGTTCGCAGGAAGCCTTGGTGCCCGGTGTCACCTCTCAGACTCTTCAAGTCTCAGCAGACTGCAAAACCGTGCGGTCGTGGGTTTCATATTATTTAACCTTCCTATTATGTTCGGGTCTATATGACCCGAAACACTAATTCAACCTGATGTAGCTTCTATGTATTTCATCGAAAAAATCTGAAAATTTTTTACTTTTCCTAACTTTTTGAATATATTTACGACTTCAAAGGCGAACTCATTTCCGCGAAGCATTACTGAAATATTTGTGACACCCCCTCCTGTTATGCTCGGGTCTATTTGACCCGATTGCAATACTAGTGCATTTTCAACATGGAGAGAGGAGAATGTTTTTCACGCACACCGTTCTCTGCTTCCGTCGTCATTTCTGCACGACTGCCTAGACCATGCAATGACTCGAGCTCCTTTGCTAGACTGAGTTCAACAAGCAGCAAAAAAGAGCCGGATGTACTTTTTGTCTCTCCGCTTATGACAAAAAAACATCAACTGAACGTCGTATGGAGAATATATTTGCAATTTGAGCCCAAGTACGCGTCATGTGCCTTGCAAAATCAGTTATAAGTAAGGGTTTGTCGCAATTAACAATTTTGGATATCAGTTTTTGTTGGAACTTTTTGGAATTAACTCAGTGTCAACAATAAATAGGTATGCAAACATAGCTAATAAAATAATGAGCACATGTGTGATAAATCCTTTTGCGATAAGAAATCACGAGGCAGCAAAAAACTCAAGCGAATTCCTATACAAATAAAAGGAAACGTATATCGGGTCAGGGTGACCCGAACGTAAATGGTGTACCTAAAATGGGAACAGAATAGGAAGGTTAAATAGTTCTCGGAGCACGAGTTTCCATTCGTATACTTTCCTTTATAACTATTACTATCAGTTTATAGTATGTTTAATCTACTTTTTCTAGATCGTGGAAATGTCCCCATGTATTCACAGCTCGGTTTTTGTGTCTTACTTTGCAGCTCCCTCTCTTTTTGCTATCGAACGAATAATGAAGTCTCGAGTATATGGGAATCGGTGGCTGCATCCTATCATGGTAAGAATTATGAGTGAAATAGACTGGACACTCATCCGATCGGGGAAATATCTGTGATACAGGTAGCGCAAAAAGGAAAGAAGGAGCTCGAATGGGATTTTCTTTCAATGCTAATTCACTGTTAATGTTCTTTGCACGCCAGGTTGTGTGAAGCACACTAAATCCTCATGGATGTGTGTGGAGTATGACAAATAAACTCCACTGTGTGGAACCTGCGAAGCGCGAGAGGGCATGATCAATAGTCATGAATAATCAAAATGAGGAACTTACAAATGAAATCTGCTCTCACGATTGACACAACTGGAAACGGCCGAAAGAGACAGGGAAGAGCTCTCCTGGCCACGCACACTCTCCCAGTCTCGGAAGGCGAGTGCCACCCTGGAGGAGGAGGGCTGAGCGACGCGCCGAGGTCGGAATGGTCTCGAGTAGGAGCTCCGCCCAGAGAGAGGATGCGGGCAGGAGGCTGGTCACGTGGAGGCAAGCCGGTTGCCTCCACGTGGGGTTTGCATATCCCAGAGGTTTTCTTGACGAGTTGATGACCTAAGCTAACATAAGCCCGGGGCCCTTCTAATAAGTCACATACGAATCGCCGGGGTTGAAAGTGATGATCGGTAGGCTTTGGTAACGTCTATTACCTCTCTTCAACCTCCTCCCGTAGCAAAAATTCAGCCTCCTCATATTCCTCTCTGAGAGCATCAACAGGAACGAAATGTGGCATGGGTCTTCTCTCAACGCAGAATCGCTCCAGATATGTGGAATTCCATCTCCCTGGGGTTGTGCTGAATCTCGCTTTTTGAAGATGTGAAGATTCATTCCGGATTTTTTTTCCCCCCCCCCCCCCCACCCCTGTGAATAGCCACTCCTGGGGAGTTTCCGAGGAAGGGGACCAACCAAACGAAATATCTTGACTTGTAGATGACGAAAAGTGTCCTTTTTGTTGCTTCCATTGCACCATTTCGCCATTAAAAAATCACTTTATCTCTCGTTCATTTCGGCTTAGCGTGATGGCTCCGGTCCCGTCCTCCAGTGTTGCCGGATATCGCACCGGAATCACATCAGATTCATGACTTCTTCGGCCTTAGTAACTGTGTCTAGAGCTTCCGTTTTTTAATGTATGGGATAATTTAGTGCCCAATTTATGAGACTAGCCAAGATTGAAATGATTTTGGGGGCAGTGTCCGATCGATTTGATGGGATGTGGAGATATCTCATCCGGACATCCCTGAATTAACAGGATGGCGCCCAGGTTGTATTCCATGCTTCCCAGAGGCATTCTTTCCTCGGAACTAGTCGAGACGGTTCGACGTTCAACGATCCCCAACGTTCCTCGCCCGCACCGAAATGGTTCATGAAACTCGAAACAGACCTCGAATCGGTCTAATGTTGCACGTTCTCCCTTAAAAGGGCCATGAGAGACTGAATAGGCCTGCGATCCCTCACGAAAAAGTTTCGCATTAGAATTTCTTCCGAAATGCAACAGACTTGCATTTGACTGTAGTTAAAAGGACTGCCACTGCTATCACAATGCATCCATCTAGAAATTATGTTTTAAATGCATTCAAAAAGTATTGATAGTGAACATGTATCTACAATTGTAATGCCAAGAGATTGCATGGTCATTGTTGCAACTTTTGAGCATTTACTTGGCCGCAGTTACATTGCAATCGCAAAGTATTACACGAGCTAAATATATGAAAATGCAATTTGGGCCCTATGGGAAGCTACAATGGTTATGCAATGAAATGCCCCTCGAAACCTGACTGACGTCCGATAGCAATTTGCGCATGGAAATACATGAATGCGAAACACTAACGTCGTCCACGAAGAGAAAATGGCGTTTCACGGCCGTACAATTCTTTCGACCCGGAGGTACTAGGCAGCTGTCGGCACGTGCAGGATCGTGACGAGCGCGAGTGACATCGCCAGTTGAGGGCCCGATGATCCTCGGTTGCATTTGAGAAGATGGGATGAGCTCGTCACCCGCCATCTATTAACGGCTGATTGAATTTGACAGGGTTCTTGGCGATCTGATGAAAACGGGCGAACGAGGTGCCGTTCAACGATTTGAACGAGAAGCAGTTTGTTTCCACCAAAGAGATTGTATAATGGAGGGGCCTCCCCTTATGGCGTGAGACGCTGCATCCTTCCAGGCTCGGCCGCCATCTTACTGAAGTCGCACGAGCAAGGAGTTCATAGCAGACACGTGAAGAGAGGGAGGGCAAAAGAGGGAACTTTCCCCGAGCTATATGCCTGGGGGCCTCCACGCCGGGACCCAACCGATCACGCTATTCATTCCCACATTCCACGTGGCGGAAGCACTTGTAAGTCTCGAGGCACCGAAGGCCCCTCCAGAGACATCTATATACACTCTATGGTTTCCACAAATTGCGCTGATTCCTTGTAATTTCCGCTTCTTTGTTCTTGGCGTAACATTAAGTCCCGTTGTTCATATGTAACCCTCATTTTCGGACCTATCAAAGAACTTTCAGCTTGAACCACTCTGGGCGTAACTTTAGAAGCGCCCTATAGTGGTGAGTTATTAACGTTACTGTCTCCATGTCCTTCCACCATGATGTGATGGAAGAACGTAAGAGCTTTCTACTTCTTTTCCTCTTTCAATGTTTCTTAGTTGGAAAAGAACATAATGAACATTACGAAGCATGTGGAAAATTCTTTGTCATGGTGTTCATATGATAACAATGAATAGCATCTTCAAGCGAATAATCTTTCCGATTTACGTGGAGACATCAAAGAGTTCCGGGACTGACATTTTTATGACGCTGTGGTGACTATTTCCGACTACTGATGGTTATATCCGTCTAGGTAGTCCTCTTAGGCATCTTCACATATTTTTTCATGTTTCATTTTTTCATTGTCAATTTTTTCTTTTTCATCAGGAGTCGAAAAAAGTCACCAAAGCGTCATAGAAAATTCAGACCCAAAACTTTTTTATCATCTCTCGTATATAAGGATATACGTGTGTAAGGATACGAGCCCACGTATCCAGAAGTATCCACGCAGAAGCTCTGTGAAAGAAACAACAGTTGATGCCATAAGATAACAGAAGTAAGTTCCCCTTTTTTCATCATGACATTGATGCACAAAAAGGTATCATCATAGGACAAAGGAAGATAATGCGTGACTGGCCGGGACAAGACAACGCTGATTTGCAGCTTGGGCGATTTTGAGAGACGGGAAAGGTTTTCTGAGAGGAAAAGTCGAAAAGACTAGGACCGTCATGGTGAGCATCTTCAAGATGCGCATTTTAAAATGCGACATGGACTCCAAGCTTCGATTACCCGTTTCCCAGGAGGACGGGGACGCGAACGTATTACTAGGCGTTCAACTTCCGGATTTTCGAATGGCAGTTTGGCCACGCGTTCCAGATCTGGAACGAAGAGTAACACCCACGGATCTCACCCCAGATGGTGTGCAAACGACACCTAATTTGAGGGCATGATCGATTAGGTGATACAAAGCTAACGTAGAACCAGGTAAACTCACGAATCCCCAGATATCCAAATGCAATGGATTTCCCCTTTGTTTTTTCATCTACTGCAACTAAATTTTGTTTCCTTAAGAAAGGGTTTCACTATAGGGATGAATGCGTCAGTTTTCTTCCTGGACTAACTTTCTTCATTCCTTTGTTCTTCGTGGTCGCACGTAGACATTCCAACCCTTGGCTACAACCAGAGCTCGTCTGTCTTATTTGTCCATCATTCCCCATCCCCAAAAACACATTATGATTCCTCACTGTCAATTTCTCATGGCAAAGTAACCGAAGTACAAGTCTGGGTTGCACCCTACTTCTCTGATGTCAGTTGCTGTCCTGGGGGATATTTGGCTGAAACCCTGGTCGTGGATGTGAGATAATTGTCAAGAAATCCATCTCGAGCAAAGAGTACATTTCGACAGTCGGGAAACCCTTCCTGCAGAAGTGAGACAATCGTCTAGAAATCCAACCTGGGCATACTAAGCCTTGAATTTCAGCTACTTCGCCATCAATATTATCTTTCCTTCCTGGATGACTGGCTTGAACGAACCACGCGCTGCACCGAAGCGCCTATAAAGTCGTTCCTGATTGGTGGCTCCAGCGTCGCGAACGCATTCCCGAGAGAACGGCTGGAGGAGTCCCTCCGCGTCTTAGACGTCTTCCTCGCGCGTTTTAAACTGCTGGTGACGTCAGCCGTCCTCTCAAGAACGGATGACCAAAACTCTCTCCTGCTGGATGGAGCTCCCTTGTCGTTCCTACGTGCGATGACCGCTTCTTAAAAACGGGGATGCATGTGCAGCGCCTGCTCGCTACTTCTTACAAAAGTGATATGATGAAGCGTCACCAGATTCTAACATTTCAATCGGGCCGATAGATTTTCTGCAGAGTATGGCAAGGGGTTACCTATCCCGGTGGGAAAACCTTTCTTGCTAAGCAATATGTCTTCTTCCTCTTGAATCGCTTCTTCATGTTTTCATGACTCATGAATCAACGAACCAGCTCAGAGGACGCGACATGGACAGGGCCCACCGCAGGAAATCCCGTTTTATTTTCACAGTGAAATCTTTGAAACCCATGCTCACATAAAAATCCAAATGGACCAAATCGTGCAGATTTCATCCAGAGAATCCTCATTCATTCAATCACGCTAGAAATGAAATTTTACTGACCATGTTGTCAATGGGAAATGCAAATGGCAACTGAAGATATGAATGACATTTTTATAGTCCATCTTGCCACACGTTTAACCCACAAGGGAGATGTTTAAAGCCATCCATCTTCCACTCCCCTGAGGGTGATTTCCCTTTGACCCCTCCGCCTGACGCTGGCCCGACGCTCCTGGGGGGGGGGGGGGGGGCATCACGTATGAATGATTTTAGAAATCTTGATTAGATGCCTGACAAGTGCAAAGAACGGCTAGGTCCACCACTCAGAGCCTCGATACCCTTTTCTACATTTCGACAGGCTGATGACAGCATAAAATTAATAAACTATTAGTGGCAGGTAATCCTGCCGCAAATCGTAGGAAACTAAATGCCCTGTTGTCGTGGAAGGATTCGCCATAACTTTCTGAAACTACCACATTTAAGGTATTGCCAACGTTCCACGGGAAGTTCCTTGGGAACGTCCTATTGACTGCTTAAATGTCCGAAATTTAGAGCGGTCAAAAACAGTTCAAATCGTGCTTACTCTGAAAGAGTATCATCAGATTCATCAAAGACCCGAATTTGACATTCTCAAGATTGGCGTCATCTAGCGTTGGTTGTACAAACCTTTGGTTCAAGCCATTGTCCTATGGATACCATGGATATGCTTCAGGAAAAGATATCTAACGTTCAACAGATGTCCTTCCAAAAAACGGGATGTTTGGTGATCAAGCTGCACCTTAACTGAGCACACAAAAGGTGCACATCCGTGTACATTAGGCGCCAAAAAAAAACTTTTTGAACTTATTTCCACCGTCCTTAAGAGTTTCCACGAGCTACGTGGGCACTTTCATGTGTACAAAGCTTATTGGTCCACGTGGCCCCTTGGCACGTCAAAAGCGGAAGAACGGCCAGACAGAGGGAATGCGGATCGCTTGATCTGTGTTCATCCCGTCTTCTCTGAGGGTGGTTAAATTGGGTTTATAGTAAAAAAAAACCCGAAGTATAGTAAAACCCAAAAGAGGTGATGGGACGTTCGCCTTAGTAGCGAGTCAGAAAGGGTGATATTCCTATGTGGGA